AGAGCGGGGAAATGGTGGTGCCCTCCGCTGCCCCTTGCTGCTGGGGCTGCTGGCTCTCGTCCAATTGCCCACTCCCTTGCTTGTCTAGCCACACACGAATGCACGACCACAGTCAACCCACAGCCCTGCTCCCTCGCTGTTTCCCTGCAATTGCTTGCTGAGTTGCCCACCAGGTCCAACCCTGCGCCTGGATTCCGCGTGCCTGAGTCCGTCTGACCGAGTTTTCCTGTGCTACCCCACTCTGCCAGCTGCTGCTTTCGCCCCTCTTACCGGTCAGGCTGAAGAATTTGTTGTTATCAGACTTCCGAAAAGTTCAATTTTCTCTGTTCTGGCTGTGTTTTCTGTTGCTATTATTTAGTTGTCTCTAAACATGGTTGTGTGAGGAAGCACGGTGTCTCCACCTATGCCGCCATCTTGGCGGAAGTCTGAATGTCTTATTGTTTATTAAAGGTCTTAGAATTTGACATGGGGCAAAAGGGTACGCTAGACCGAGCAGAGGTTAGGAAATTCATTATAAGGCCTTTGTGATGTCTAACTTAGCTATCTATCTTTCTGTCTAAAATGTTTCTTCATGTAATATGGACTCTAACTCCTTGGTAATTGTTTCTACGTGCTTAGTTTGTAGTAGCTAACCAGCTTCTCCTGTTTCTTTGCTTGTCTACTTCTAACTAATACATATTCCTGTCCAAGGTAGAGGAGGGGCTGTTACTCCATCAACTTTTAGATATTCAGGGGCAGTAGCTCCTGAATAGGGGGGCAGTAGCCCCTGAATAGGGGGGACTTTGTTCTCTGACCAAGAAATTATTTTGTACAACTTCATTGGAATTCTGCAGATCATTGGGCCTGAAATGCAGGTGTCTAAAAATCCCACCACCTATTAATCACAAAGACAAACATGCAGGGAGATATAGATAGGAAATCCAGCCACAGTTGCCTCTGCTGTGCAGATGTATCTCATCTGTTCTGACTGTGTCAAGGGACAGCTGTTGGTTGGCTCCTGACACACAAGGACATTTATGAAGACATTGTGGTAGCAAGGAGTTGGAGGTAATCTAGGTACCCCCACTAGGAGGAAAGTGAGACAAGATGTGATCATACAATGGAACATTATACATCAGTTGGAACCAATGAAACTAGATGTGTAAATAGCAACACAGATAGATCTAAAGCATAGAACTGAATACAAATGTATGAAATAAACTGAGATGTGTGACAGAATTCTTTTTATATAAATTAAAAGTCTACATACATACATAAAACAACATTACATATTTTATAAAGATATATTTATGGACATATATCCAATACAACAGAATGAATGCTTAAGTGGGAAAAGGGGAATAGAATGAGAATTGAGGGGTTGGAGGTAAGGAGGAAGATGAATAAATTAAGCGAGGAGTGTACATAGTCTAATTAGTACAACATGCTTGGAGCTCTGTTCTCCTAAGGCCCCAACATAAAAACGTGCCTCGATGAGGGAATGATAAAGTGCTGAGGGAGAGTATGTGACTGGCGTCCACCTCACGTTTCAGGGTGGGCGTCAGGGCAGGCTCCTCCGAGAAGAGAGTGTTGCAAGAGGAGCCTGAGTTAAGATTTCAGCTGACATAGACAAAGAGCAAGAGGGCTTTGGGAAGAGAGAAGAGTGAGTTATTGGTGAGAATGAGAACTTGGGTGTTTGAGAAACTGAAGGAAGTTCAGAATTGCCATGAGAAGCAATGTGGGATTTGAGGTCAGAGAGATCATTTTGGGCCAGATCAGAGAGAGCTTTTGAGTTATGCTAAGGATGGCAAGGCCACCAGATTTATATGTCGGAGAGCCCTTTCTGCTCATTTCTGGGATGGAGGCTGGACACACACGCAGAAGGACCCATGAGGAGACTCCTGCGCTCATTCGGGACAAAGAAGGCGGTACCACCTGCACCAGGGTTGATGAAGTGGGGACGCAGAGGAGTGGATGTCGTCTCCAGATATGTGGGGCGTAAAGTTACCTGCTCTTGCTCAAATCTTCACAACAATCACCTGATACAGATGGGAAGAGGACTCCCCTCAGTGTACCAGGTGTCAAATGCCTGCCCTCCTCCCCACTTTTTAAGGCAAACTGCTCCACTGATTTTCGTGTCCGTGTGAAACCATGTGATTGAACAACATACTGCATCTCCTTCTGGCCACAGCTTAATGATCAGAGGTGGGCATCTGACAAAAGGCCAGCCAGGCCCTTGGCTACTCAGGGACCTGTGACCTAGGGCCTGCTGAAACCCTTTTTAAAATATATTTTTATTGTGTCAAAATGTACATAATATAGAATTTACCATATTAACCATTTTAAGTGTAACATACAGTGGCATTAAGTCCCTTTGCAATGTCATGCAGCCTTCGCCACTGTTTGTTTCCAGAAGTGTGTCATTGTTCCAAAGAGAAACTCTGCACATAAAACAATCACTCCCCCTTTCCCTCTCCACCCCCAACCCCTGGTAACCATTGTTTTCTTTTCTGTCTTTTCGCTTTACGGAATGACGCCCAACTCACTGAGCCCTTTCTGTCTTTATGATTTGACTATTCCACATACCTCACTTAAGTGGAATCATATATTGTCCTTTTGTATCTGGTTTATTTTATTTAGCATGGTGTCTGTGATTTATCCATGTTGTAGCAAGTGTGGATATACCACATTTTGTTCATTTGTTGATGGGCATTTGGGTTGTTTCACCTTTTGGCTATTGTAAATAGTGCTGCTAGAAACATAGGTGCACAGATATCTCTTAGGATCCTGCTTTTAATTCTTTTGAATATATACTGGAAGAGGAATTGATGGATCGTTTGGTATTTCGATATTTAATTTTTTGAGGAATCACCATATTGTTTTCCACAGTGGCTGCACCATTTTTTCAAGGGTTTCAATTTCTCCACATCCTCACCAATGCTCATTACTTCATGTTTTCTATAATAGCCACTCTAATGGGTGTAAAGTCGTATCTCTTTATGGTTTTGATTTTCCTGATGGCTAGTGATGTTGAGCATCTTTTCATGTGCTTATTTGCCATTTGGGTATCTTCTTCATAGAAATATCTATTCAATTCTTTTGCCCGTTTTCGGAATCAGGTTGTTTGTTATTCTTGTTGTTGAGTTGTAGGAGTTCTTTATATATTCTGGATAATAATCCCTCATCAGATATATGGCTTACAAGAAAACATATCAGATATATTTTCTCCCACTCTGTGTGGTTTCTTCTCACTCCCTTGATAGTGTCCTTTGATGCATGAAAGCTGAAACTATTTTTTAGTAAGGAAGTACGGGAGACTGAGCCAATTAGGTAAAGCTACAGGTGCAAAACATCATTATTGTTGTTGTTATTTCATGTCCACTCATGAGAAATGTGTAGGAGGAACCACAAGGGAATAGTGGATGGGGGTAGAACTAGTCTGGGATTCCATATTGCCATGACCCACTCTCCATGGGATTAATTCATTGTTCCATCTAGAAGGGGAACTGAACACAAAAGGATGTCATGAAGCTCATCCAGGGACACAGGGAACCAAAGTCCTGAACTGAAACAGAAATTGACACCAAAAGAAAAGTCACAGAAAACAGAACTTGGTAACACGGGGGTAATTTTTGGAGTTGTTTCTTGGGTGGTAGTGGAGTAGAGAGCAAAAAATTTCCTCTTCAAGTCCTTGGGTTAAATTCTAGTAGCTCAGGAACCCAGAGACAGGCAATTCATTAGGGTCTCCTTTAGACCTTGAGGATTGTGGTCCTACTAAGGTCTACATGTCAGCTTCAAGGATTGAAGACTAGAAGTGCTGCAGATTAAATAAGGTTTGGATAGAAGAACATGAGTCCCAGTTCCAGTTGCCCAGGGTCAGTACTCAAGAAAACTTAGAGGCTTTCTGTCATTCTGCTTTAGGAAGCCCTTTCTGAACACAGCAGGATCTCCAAGCCTGCTGAAAACTGAGTCCAGGCACAAATCCTACCCTTTGCTGAATTGCACCATCAATTGAATTTTCACTGACATTGGGTTCATGCATTGGGAAGATGGTTAAAGTTAATTCTTTGATTGGCAAAAACTTGGACCCTAGGAATTGGAATAGGAATATCTGTAATGAGTCCGAGATGAGGATATCTGTCACCCAGGTCCCCCATAAATTCTTTTAACTATATGTATGTTCTATATGTCCCTGGAGAGACAAACCAGACAGTTCTTCAAGAGGAAACATGGCAGAGGGGAAGTGAATAGAAGCCTGGGCTGGCCACTAAGGCCAGAAGGAGGAATTCTTAGGGCTGTAGTTTGAGAAAGAGTAGAGGTCCTGGACACAGGATCCTACTGATAAGGAGAAACTTCTCTACTTAGCTCCTGGTTGTCATGGGTGGGAAATGCTGGTGTGCCTGAGAACTGTAATGCCTTGGTGCCCATACAGGCTTGGTAGGGGAATCCACTTGCCTAAGCATAAGCTAGGGGAAGAGCAGGCTCTTCAATGACTCCACGAGGGTCTAGATACCAGAAGTAGGTTTCCTGTGTGACTGGTGGCAGTGAATTTTTAGGCAATAAGAATTGAAATGGTAGCAGTGTCAGGCTTTATCCCTAACTTAGAAGGCAGTTTCTAAGTTACTGTTCTGGCAATAAGGGCAAGACTGATTCACATTCATGTGCCAACAATCCTGGGACATTTAGAAATACTGGAAGAAGGGATACAAGGGAAAAGACTAAATTTATTGCTGGTCAAATACTTGAAATCTCTTGGATTCAAAATAGTTTGAATTAATGAAAATGCAATCATAATTGTATTCACACTCTTGTGCAATTGGGGATTCACAGCTTAAAAAATTAAACAGAAAACTCCATTTTGTCTGTGAGTTAAGGAAAGAAAGTCATTATTTTATTACAATGGAGGAATACTTAAAACTGTATTTTGAGAATTACTGTTGTAACTTTCTGGCTGCTTGAATTGTCCACTTTCCCCTTTATTGTTATTGGCATTTGGGAGTAGATTAAGTTATATATCTGAATCAGAGTTTCCCAGAATCCTTTGGGCCCTGGGGACACGACATTTTGGTGATGGCTGCTTTGACATCCTTGTTCCTCAGTGTGTAGATGAGAGGGTTGAGGACAGGTGTGAGGATAGCATACACCACATTGCCCATGACATGGAAGTCCAGGGGCAGGTCAGCCCTGTAAGACACATAGGCTAGAGCAATGGAGGAGTAGTAGGTACCAACCACCAGGAGGTGGGAGCTGCAAGTGGAGAAGGCTTTTGAGCGTCCTTCCCGGGACCTGATGCGAAGCACTGAGGCCAGGATGTGGGCATAGGAGAGAAGCACCAGGAGAAGGGGCAGGAAGGACACCACCATGGCAATGCAGAAGCCCATGAGGGTTTGGGGTGTGGTGTCAGAGCAGGAGGCCTGGACCACAGCCAAGTGGTCACAGAAGCAGTGGTAGACATGGGCCACAGAATCAAAAGCCATGTAAGATGTCTGCACCACTGGTGGGATGGGCAGGAGGAGGGCAGAGAGCCAGGCACTGGCTGCCAGGGTCACATTGGTCTGTGGGGTCATGTGGACAGGGTAGTGCAGTGGGCGGCAGATGGCCACATAGCGGTCATAGGCCATGACCACCAGGATGAAGGCTTCAGAGCATGTGAAGCTTTGGAAGAGGTACATCTGCAGGAAGCAGGCAGGGAAGCTGAGAAAGTGGTCCCCAAGCAGGAATAGGGACAGCATCTTGGGGACAGTGGTTGTGGTGAAAAGGATGTCCAGAGCAGAGAGGTTGATCAGGAAGAAATACATGGGCTTGTGGAGGCTGGGCTCTGCCACCACAGCCACCAGGATCAGGGTGTTACCCACCAAGATGAGCAGGTAGAGGAGGAGAAAGACAAAGAAGATAGAAAGGAAGAGGGGTTTTGGCAGAGAGGGGATGCCCAAAAGGTAGAAGGTGGTCGAGGAATCCGCTGATCCATTACAGGCTGTAGGCTGCATGGTGGGCTAACCTGGATGCCCAGGAGGTGAGTAGTGAAAACGTGGGAACCAGGCACATCTGGGGACCAGAATAATCAGTGATTCTGGAATGAGAATTAAATAATGATCACTGTATAGTGAGTGTAACCACATTTATTTGTGACCTTAAAAGAAAGATGACGAACCCTGTCTTTATCCTATTCCAGAATTCCCTTTCCTTTTTTAATCAAGTATGGACAAAATACCTATGATATACAAAACATATATAACACTATCTATAATACATGGTATGTAGCAGACACGCTGAACAAGACAGAGAAGGTCTTCAACCACACAGAGCTGAAATTTTAGTGGTAGAGAGAGACATTAAGCAATAAATCACATAATTATTTAATTGCAATTGTGTTAAGTGTGATGGAAGGACGTTCACTGCTCCTCTTCCACATAGGACCCTTTCCGGGATACCAGATTTCTTAAACCAGGCCTCTAAACGCCTTTCTCTTTTGGCATTTGCTTTAAGTTCTTTAAAAAGTGACATCTTTGTCACCATGTTGCCAGGGAGGGCTGACTTCTCCAAGATTTATAGCAACATGTTGTCTTCCCACTGAAATTATTAGTCAGAAAATGGTTCCTTTCTCTTATTTGCTTGGTGCTGTGGTTCTGCTTGTCTCCCTCTACACTGAATACTCCACGTCCTGTCTCTGGGTGTGGGGCTCTTTGTCTTGTTACAGTGGAGGGTGTGGCACTGGACATGCTTTTGGTGGGAAGTCATTCCTGACTGGAGTCTGAACAGATATGGATTCTCCCACAGCTGGGCAGCAGCAAAGAATCTGAGACAGTGTCTGTGCTGCTCCAGGGAACTCGCCCCCCCCTACTGGTTGCCGCAGCTTCGCAGGTACTTCTGTTGAACCATTGGGTGCTCACTACCCAGCAGGCTCCCCTAGTCCCTGGTCAGAGTTGTCATGTGACCTGGGAGGGTTTGTGCTCGGGGAAGTACTGATGTGCCCTCCACTTTGGACTTGTCCCTCAGACTAAGCGACCTGCCTACCCCCACCCTCTGGCAAGTTCATGTTGAGACCAGTAGGACTGTCTCATTGATCCTGATGGCATCATGAGCAGTGTCCCTGTGAATGCCCCAGAGTCACCTCTAATTTTTTTCTCTTCTCACAACATCCCTTATGCATAAAACCACCAATGTAAAAACTAGAAAAAGCTTTTATTTTCAAGGCCAACTAGTTTCCCCCTGAAGGCCAGAGACCAAGCAGAGGCTTTCTCAGGTGCCACAGGCATTGGTTGTGGAGTCACCACCAACTCAGGTCTTTTGTTCTCAGGACAGGACTCTTTTTTCTATGCCATGATTCCTAGAGAATCCAGAAGTTCAAGTTTATAGGGGAGAAAATATTAGGATCTGGATTATCTATTTTCCTTTCTGTTTTTTTCATTACTAACATGAGACAAATCTATATTTCAGATTTTTATCTGAGTCTGTATAGGTAAGTACTACATTAGGAATTGGTACCTGGCAATGAAATGCTTATTTGAAATAATGATCCAGAAGTCAGCCCCCAGGACCTAGCAAAAGAGCAAACCTGCTTTGTCCCATATTGAGAGGGTTATCCTTTAGCTAACCAAACCCCATCCAAAAAGTTCAGTCACTAGGTTTTACTTACACCTGAAGGGGCTCAAACTGCACTGCCCTGGACATTTCTGCTCTCAGAGAGGCAATCATAGCTGATGGTCCCAGGTGAGGCAGAGTCAGGGATCTGAGGGGCAGAAATGCAGAGGCCCAAAGCCAGAGGAGTCCTAGGGGCCATCAAGTCCAGCTGCCCCTCTCCTGCCTCAGTGTCCCAATGCTGAGACCCTGCTGGAGAGGTGGCACATGCTTTTCACTGCCAGGTGGTGCTGGACTACCCAGGTAGACCAGGCATGTGCTGAGTCACCACAAGCCAGCGGCACCAAAAACACTTCCTATAAGAATTTCACATTTCATATTTGAAAGCACCATTCTTGTTGCATTTTGAATTATGTACTACTCCCAAGTGAGGCAGCCCTATGCTTAGGTCCTGGAACATGCTATTTCTCAGGGCACAGAACTGGCCCCAGAAGGTCCTCCTTGTCAGGACTGTCTGTGAACCAGTTATAGTGCTGGTAGGGACAGAGAAGGATAGAAAAACCCATCACCCAAATGTCCACTTTGTATATTTTAGGTCCATCATCATTTCGTATCCCAGCCCTACCAGGAGAGGCTATGCCCCTTCAACAAATGGAAAAGTGGGGATCAGAGAATGGCAGGCAGTTGTCCAAGGCCATGGCTGGTGAGATGTGAGAGCAGAGGTTGTTCTGTAGCCGACCTGCTGTAAGGGAAGGGACTGAGCTCCATCTGGTAGCTGAACATCCTGGCTCCTGGGCCAGTTCTGCCACTTGCTGCTGTGACTTTGGGCCCCTGAGCCTTGGTTTTCCCATTAGTTCAGGGAGGAGCTTAGAGGAAAAGCCCACCTAGTGCTCACCTGCTGCCGGCCAGGTTATTTACATTATGTTATGTGGACCTTAGTGGTTAAGCATGTGGACTTGTGAGACAGAAAGGACTGGATTGCAATCCCAGCTCCTACCTTCAGCTGTGTGATCTTGAGCAAGTCACTTTTCCCTCTTTGAGCTCTTTTCCCTTGTTGTCACCTCCTGGGTGAGTGAGTCTTGTGAGTCTTGCTGGACAGAGAGAATGCTGGACAAAGCTTACACAGGAACCTGCAACATGTTAAGAGTGCAAAGTTTGCTAGCATTTCCAATGGTTACTATTGTCATCAGCCTTGCTTTCCTGTGGGAAGCCTTTGGCCAAGGCAATTTGAATCCTACCTGTGAGTACACTTCCTTACCATGACTTGCTGGGATAAGTGGTCTGAGGTCTCGCAGCCCATGTAAGCACAGCCCACCTGGATCCTGGTTGCCTGCGTCTTGTGCACACCCAGTACATCACCTTGATCCCTGCTTTATAGGCTCTGGCCTCCCTGCCCCTGTCCCCCTACCCCAGCTTTCTCTGCCTATCTCTGGGCACTCCATCCCTTGCCCTTCTTACTTGTTAAGCCTCGACCACGCTGGTGTTTCCTGTGGTGTCTCTGTGCAAGGCCTTGTTGAAGGCTGAGTCATGGCCCATTAAACCTTCCACATCTCCTTTCAGGGAGGCCTCCTGGGGTATTTTTCTCAAGATGGTGCTCCCATGGGGCACTGCACCCACCCCCCAGGGTTCAACTCCCTGGCATCTTGAAGCGAGTACATTTAGGTGAAGGGGGAAGGAGGATGTCCCTAGGCTTTGCTGAAAATGAGGAGAGCATCATTAACAGCCCTCACGAGGTCAGAACTTTCCTCCAATGGTGTAGCCTTCATTCTCATTATGAATTTGACTGATACCCATGGGACAGATCATCTTGTCTACTGACTTTGCCTATTCTTGATGATTTGGGAGAGTTTTTTCTACCATGGATACCCTCTGGGAAATAGTTACATGGGACACAAATGTCCTTATAATTTGTGCCCATTCTGAGAGATCTCACACCTTAACTTTTCTCTAGATCTCTCTTCTTTACCAATCCTCTTAGCTTGATCTCTCCAAGTTCCTTCATATTCCAGCAAAATCATTAGCTGTTGCCCATAAGCTCTGTAGATTCATACCTCCTTTCATTTTGCCTTCTGCACCTACCAGGCAAAAGCCAGATGCGCTGCCCAAGATTCTGCCCACTGACAAGATTTTCCTTCTTGTTGGCTGTACAGGGCCTTCCTGAATGGGGCTGCAAAGTAGCAGCAGTCCACTTTGGGTGATCTCAGCATATTTTGAAAAACTATTTGTAATTTTTTTCTTCTTGAGGGAGTTGGTTATAGGACACTTCCCATGAGGATGTATGTTAGAGCTGATGGAAAAGTGTCAGTGTAGCAAGATCATGTGTCCGGGGAGTCTGAGCCAACTGCTCGTGCAGTGTGCTTATGCCTTCAGGGTCTGCTTGACCTAATATAACACTTATTACTTGCAATGGATGATGGGATACTTCTGTACATATCCAATTTTATATTTTATTTGTTCAAATTAATGCCCTACAGATAAGGGATAGCTTAGGAGCCGTAATCACTAACTGTTCCCTGGCCAAGCATTCAGTCTGCACCAGGACCAGGAACTACTTCTCAAAAGAAGAACAGTTGTCTACAGAAAAAGCATAGGTGCACTCGAAGTTTCTAGCACCAGCACTGTGATTCTTCTATTACTGGGATATGTTACCTTAAAAATTCACAGAGGACTTTAAAGTTTTGGCTGTGACAGAATAGCTAGGATGGAACTAAACTTCCCTCTGAAAACAGCTATATAAAAGCTGGCCAAAATATAAAGCATCATTTGAAGGCTTCAGAGAGCAACCAGTGGCAGGTCTTGAAGAACTGCAGTCCTGAGAGGAAGAAGGCTCGTTAGGTCAGTTCCACAGGATTCCGGCTTTTGACTTGAGGGCATTTCCCAATTTGAAAGCCTGGAGAATAGAGCTGAATTAGAGAAGTCTTCCTAGGCTGAGGAGATATGAGGCTGGAATTTTGGGTAACCAAGGTGACTGGCACTTGAGAGGGAAAATCCTGGAGAGAAGTATTGCAGAGAAAGAACCTTACAATCTGTGTACAAGTTTCCTTCAAGTCATTGACCAACTCTTAAGTGTACATGTGTGGGGAAAGACTTGGAGAACCTAGAAGAATAGAACAACTGGGAGGCTACGGAGCTGCTGGTTTGAGCAGCCACATGATGCTGGAGAGTCAGAGGTTGGAATCCAGGCCCTACCTAAGTGGATGGACCTTGATAAGTCCCCTAGGACTTCTGTTGAGACACTGGAGATACCAGGATCTAAGGAGTAACGGCTAAACCCTAAATGTAAGAACCAAATAAGAGGAGATGAGGCATAATGTAGCCTACATCCAAGCCACAACAAGGATGGTCCACTGGTATTCAGTTTGCTAGAAGAATACAGCCCTTCTTGGAGGAAGATAAATAATTGAGAAAT